AGAAAATTTCATAAGTGAGAAATTAAGTATGGTATATCTCAAAATTAAAAAAATAAGTTTCAAAATTCAAAAATCAGATTTTTATTTAAATTTATTTATGATTTAATTATTTTATTAATTTAATATATTTAGGTCACAGATCTATACAATTTGGTTACGAATTAACAATTTAATTACTAATTTATTATTTTTTGGTCACAAATCAAAAATTTTATGTCACAAATTATTCTATGATCACAATTCAAAAATTATAAAGGTTACAATTTGTTCATCGGTCACAAATCAAAAAATTAATTAGTCACGGATTAATTTCTAATCACAACTTATCATTTATTAGTCACAATTTATTTTTCGGTCACAAATCAAAAATTTTATAAATCACATATTATTTTTCGGTCATGAATAAATTTTTTTATAGATCACAAATTATTCATTATTCACAAAATCAAAACTTTTATTTGTCACAACCCATATATTCGTTTCAAATTATTAGATTAACTGGTCACGATTAATTTTTAGTCACAACTTATCAATTTATTGGTCACAATTTTTTTTTCGATCACAAATAAAAAATTTCATAGGTTACATATTATTTTTGGGTCACGAATAAATTTTTTTATAGATCACAGATTATTCATTAGTCACGAAATCAGTTTTTATTGGTCACAACTCATTTATTCATTGCAAATTATCAAATTAATTGATCACGTTTAATTTCATCAGTCACAAATCAAGTCACAGTTTATTTGTATGTCACAGATTTCCAAATTAATTGGTCACAATTAGGAGTGGGCTTTTTTTCCCGAAACCGATGGAACCGGACCGGAACTGTTTAGAACCGATCGGTTCGGTTCCGGATCTTCTAAAAAATAATTTGATTTCGGGACCAATTATTAAGAACCGATCGGTTCCGGTTCGGTTCCCGGTTCTAGTATGGGAACCGCCGGGAACCGAATGGTTTTTATTGGATCTTTTATTTATTTTCTTTTTTCTTTAAAATATATGACTCAATCTCTCCTTCTTCATTTTAGACTCAACACTTTCCTTCTTCTTTTTGATTCTTTCCTTCTCTCTTCTTGTAATCTTTTGATTAATGGATTTTCAAGTCAATGGAGTCCTTGGTACAGTCCAATTCAACGTCCTCATTACAGTTAGGTTCTTAATACAAGAATTTGTCCTATGACAATCCAACATTGAATACCATGAATCATATTGTTAATAAATAAACCTTTTAGTCTGTCTGCCTGATAATTGTGCTGCAAATGTCAGCCTCTTTTCAACATTATTAATAAGCTAATTGCAGCTTCTAGTGCCACTTATACTGGAACCACCATGAAGCCATTTCTCGATGGCACATTTTGCACCTGGAATAATTACTTATTTTCTCTCTAAATCACACATAATCTATGACACGGTGGTAGCATCTTTAGAATTTTGTTTTTAATCTTTGAATAGTATGTCCGATTCTTCTATATTTTGTTAAATGTATCACGTTCGTAGCATCTTTAGATTTTTTATTAGTGAACATTGGTTTTGACATTTTCAATATAAAGAACCGGACCAAACTGAATCGGAATCGATTTGTTCGATTTCAGTTCGATTCCATAGCTAACTATGGAACCAATGGTTCCATTTCTAAAATTTCCATTGGTATTCGGTTCGGTTCGGTTCCCTTTGGAATCGGACCGCGTCCACTCCTAGTCACAATCCCATTTCTTCCCACCGACGACCACCGCCACAAATATCGCTATCACCATTATTGTCACCTCCTCAACAAAGCACAGCCGCCACCACCACCTTATGCAACCTATCAACACCACAACATACCACCATCAACACCATCTCAGATTCAGAGTCGCCTCCACAAAACCGCCACCAAACAAAACCATCATCACCACCACACAAAACACCATCACCACCATCGCAGGTTCACAGTCACCTGCACAAAACCCCACTCAAACCGTCAGATCCACCACACAAACACCATCACCACCACAGGCAGCCCACAGCACCGTTACCACACAAACACCACCACCACCACAGCATTGTCACCACCACAGCGCGACCCACAGCACCGTCACCACACAAACACCACCACTACCATAGTAGCCACCACAAAACCGTTACCGCACAAACACCACCACCATAGAGCCGCCCACAGCATCGTCGACCTCTTCACAGAACCTAACAGCGCCGCACCACAAACCACCACCAACGCACCATACATCACCACCACAGCAACCATAGCCACGATTGCAAAAAGCACCATTATAGCACCAAAAATTATCAACCAACACAACACAACCACCAACGCCACCGTCAACACCACCACAAAATCCCTAAACCCGCCATCGCCTGCACCATCTCACCACACCACAACCACCACCCCAAAATCACTCCACAGCCACCACAAATTTAGATCCAACACCACTTAAACTCCGATTGACTTCTACCACTGCAGAAATGGCGCTGTTGCCGCGAGCTACGCCGCCCAAAACCGACGCTACAATCATCACCTCAACCTTACCACCACTACCAATAAAATCACCGACGACGACAACATCGTCATCGTGGCTGCAGCAATGGATCTGGCTAGGTCAACTCGCCGATTACAGATTTCGTTTGATAATGAAGGGAGGGGGGAGAGAGAGAGGACGGAGGCGAGAATGACTCGATTTAGGGGTGGGGTGGGTATATCAATTTAATTTTATTAGGGTTTGGTATTTTGGCTAATAAAAATATTGATTAAAAAAAATTATGATTTTTGAATTGTTAAACTTGCCATCTGATTTTAGAATGTTGTATTTTTAATGTATGGTTTTGTGTAATTTCCACTTTGTTTAAACTAACACTTTAATTATCCACCCCATAAGTTCATTTCTTACATTAAAAATTTCTATCCGCACTTACAAAAATTTCACGACTTTTCTTTTCTCCCTCCTAGTTTCTTTTCTGTCGCTGTTTGCAAACAAATACGAAGTTAATCACTATTAATAAAACTATCGAGTTTAAAATTTTACTAATATGTGATTAAAATGTCTCCAAATTAATATTCAATTTAGATCGCAATAGCATAATGGAAAATTCATACAAGAAATTACATAGTCCCCACCCAATAAATCAAATTAACCCCAAAAACCAACCGTAACAAGCCAATCAAAATAATCCGCGAAAAATAAAATATTTGCATAATCCCCAACTTCCTAATCCAAGAAACACATGAAACCCAAAAGAAAGAACTCTATAACCCTCCGCTCATAAACTCTAAAAAATCACTAAATAAAGCACCAAACATGATGCTATTACTATAATATTACAGTTGACCAAAGGAATGAGTCGCAAGATGAATTGTGCTTTTTAACTCTGCAGACACACTGAAGATAATAAAGAAAATGTCAAGAAGTTGAAATGTAGGGAAGGACAGGAATTCTTAATCCAACATGATGCTATTACTATAATATTACAGTTGCAATTCAATACGTCAAAATATCAGCAGAATGAATGCATCATTAGCAGAGGGAGAGAAATACAAAGGTGCAAAAGAAAGGCTTATCCAAATGCTTGCACAACTTTGCTGAACCTGAATCTATCTTCAAAATGAAGATGAGCAAGTTTAACAAAAGCCTAATATTCTATAATGCAAAATAAATTGTCCAACTCTTCGACATGAATCCTACGGTAACATAACCGTGGAACTTTTTCCCCATAAGGCTCAAAGAACCACCATCCCCTAGTGTATTCTCATGACTTGAAGGAGTAGCATCCTTCAATTGAGTGCCTTCGACACTTATAAATAAGAAAACACCACATAAAAATAACAAAGAGAAGCAATTCAGGAAATGAAATATGTGTGCGGGTGTATGTGCGTATCTTAACCACCCCTAGCTGAAGACACATTGCTCCCTTCTTCATTTTTTTTCCCCCAGTCTCCACATAATACTAGGCTAAACAAATGGTATCATGATGCCAAGAAAAGAGCCAAGCAACACACATGCTGCACAAATGGAAAACTTACACAACAAAGACAGATTAGACGTGTGAGTGCAAATCTTGCAAACAAAGATACAAGAATTTTTACAGACAAAATCGGCCCTGAGATTTTGGGGGACTTAGACCAATTTCAAATATGGGACCTTATATATGTAAAAATACATGTAAAATAAAAAATAATAATTTTTTTTTGGACCCTCACCGAAGTGAGGCCTTAGGCGATCGCCTATCCCGCCTATAGTCAGGGCCGGCACTGTGTACAGAATGCAAAGATCAAAGGTAGAGTTTCCATCCCACTTAATGCCACTAAAAGTAGAAGACTGATAAAGGAAAGGTCCAAAATGTTCCTGATGTCTTGGTCATGCAGACCAACAAGATTAAGAGCACTTAAGCTTGCTGATGAGAAAAGGAAAGAATAACAGACCCTGACATTGATTTTCCTGTCATTTCATTGTAAATATTTCCTTTTTAACTGGTAGTCTGACCATTTCTTCAACTGTCTATGAATATACAGTACAATTAAAGAGAAAATGGATGATTGTCCCTTCTATCTGCCTTTTAGTGTAAGCATTTGTGTGATAGTTAGTATAATATTTGTAACTAATGTGGCTGGTAATAAGATACTGACTCGAAATTTGATTTTGGTTGTTAATACAGACCAATCTTTCTTCATCTTGTAGAAATTCAATGCAAAATGCCAAAAAAAGCAACCAATCTTAGTATATATTTTGGTGACAATGGTAATGGTGGTGGTGGTGGTGGTGGTGGTGGTGGAGGTGGAGGTGGTACCGTGGGGTTGGAGAAGGAACATGAATAGTGTTTTTTTGTTTTTTACTTCTTTTGTTTTAATTTTTTTTACTGAATTATTATTTTTATTTCTATTTTCTTTTCTTTTTAAAGTTTAAATTTAGATTAATGGAATGACCATTTTCCCCTTTCTAATTTTTGAATTTTTGATCAGATGGATAGACTAAAGATGAAATGGATGGAATTTCTCAAAGGTACAGTTTTCTCCCAAAAAAAAAAAAAAACATGAGAGTTTTTTTCAAGCCATCAACCTTTGTCAACTGTCAACGCAAAGAATCATACTTTGCCCCATAAGAAGAGCAAAATGAAAAGAGCTATTGTCAAATTCTGATGCAACAAAAATGAGAAATGTACATTCCGAAATCAAATCACAATGCACAACCAAATGAAAAGCAAAAACAGAAACATCACCACTTGGTCCACTTGTGTCGAGGTTGATCACCGAATAAACTAGCAGCTGGCCAACACTTTTTGAAATTCCTCTTCACCCTCTTCATAAGTTACACAACAATATCTCCTTTGTTATTATACTTGTAACAGTTTTCCCATATATATTGCACATCTTTAAAGACATCTTCCACACGCATGTACTTATCGCCTTTTTCTAGATTCCTGCATATCGTACCAAAATCCATTGGTGTATCGGACAATTTTTTGCAATACAAGTATAATGTGGCTTGTGGTCAATTGTTGAAATATTTTTAAAGAACCTAGGATATAACACCTACCATCCAAGCATAAGCCATTTCATAATGTCAAACCGCAATATTCTGAAGCGTGGAAATATCAATAAGTATTGTGTCCCTTCAGTATGTACCAAGAGAAAGAATCATATCGCGTCATAGTTGAGGAATAAAATTTAAGACAAATAACAACTTCTTGTGACTCCCCAACGATTGAAGGGTATGTTTTTCAACATATCCATAAAACAAATTCCAAAAACGATCAAGAAAACCCTTCCCCAGAGAAGAATTACTCAAGAAAACTAGTCATGTGTCATGCTTAGTAAAGTAAGGGAGTATGTATGAAGTAACTTATGCTTACTGGTATTCCAAGAGCAAAAGGATTAACTGGAACGTTGTAGGGCTTGGCTTCTTCCATTTTCATAACCTTTCCTATCACCTAAGAGAAAAAGAAACAACAGATAAAAGATAAGATTTAAGTTTGAGCATCTTTCCCAAAATGTTGAAATACTTGTACCAATATTACCTCCAAAGCAGCTTTCAATTCTTGATCATTGGATTTAGAATCCTTATAAAGTAACTCGGATTCGTTATTTTCTGGATCATCGCCCTTGACCAATTCAACATTGATACCTGGGCTCATATTTGAAGAGCCAAGTCCCCTCGATGATTTTATCGAGTTAATCACTATTAATAAAACTATCGACTTTATAATTTTACTAATATGTGATTAAAATGTCTCCAAGTTCATATTCAATTTAGATCATAATACATAATGGAAATTGTTGGAAAAAATGGTTATGAAATGGGTCAAATTTGAGCCCGAATTTCAGTGGGACCCACCTTTTAATTAATATGGGACCTAGCATATTCACGTTCTACTCCGCGAGATAATTAACGTGATATATTTATTTATCGAAAACCATTTAAAATTGAATGAAATATTAAGTGTTAAAGTAACCCATATAAACTAAGTATTATGGAAGAATTTGATTTTCAAACACTTATCCCACATAGGAAAGTTAGAAAACTTTGGTGTGGTTTATAAGGTGGAAGTTTGGAATTGGGTTTGGCCCCAAGGGGTACCAATAGTCTTTGGAAGGGGAAAGACCTATATCCTATTGGGTTCGGTCATAAACACGCGCGCGCGCCGCCGCCGTCAGTCCGACCGGCTCGTGCCGATGCCGGTGGACCTTTGTACTATATTAACTTTTTGGACAAAATTTATTTAAAATTTTGGGCCAAATTGTAAATAATCAAATTCTTGGGTACATTATGAAATTTAAATTTTGGTTTATTAGTTCGGGGTGTTTTATTTTCTTTTAACAGTCGTCTGTTTACCGATCAAACAGTCGACTGTTAACCGACTTAACAGACATGACTTTTAAGAGCAGCATGTCTGTTCGGATTTTTGAGGCTTGTCTGAAAGGTGATAACTGTTCGAATGGCCACGAACAAGTCTATATATAGCCTGCTTCTCTACCAGAAAATACACACCATTTTCATTGCAAACTTTTTGTGCTTTAAATCTCATTCCCCTCTCTCTCGTTCTGATATTGTCTTGAAGTAAAACACATTTCGTTGAGTTCGTTGGAACTCCTGCAAATTGCAGTGCTGCTTCCGTAGGAGACGAAAATTCGTTCTATCCTGGGAAACGATTGCTGGACGTCTTTAGCACCATTGAAGGCAGCAAATTTGTTTTAAGGAAATATCGTGAAGTCGGTGGGCTCGAATTATAATTTTGGATCCTATTGATCAATTCTTACATTCAGGTGATTCTATCGGATTGTTTTCGAAGGAGTAACTTCAAACTCCAGAAACAATAATCTTAAAACGAATTTTTTCTATTATTATTTTGTTTCTGTCTCTACTCCTTCTTATCGTTGATCTTCTGATTGTGTATCAGAAATGGCAACTTCTGGTACCACACTCCCGAATACGACCGAGGAAAAACCAGAAAAGTTTAATGGGTCAGATTTCAAGCGTTGGCAACAAAAAATACTTTTTCATCTGACGACGTTAAATCTGGCTAAATTTCTCAAAGAAGACGTGCCTTCCTATATCGAGCAAGACAGTGATGCTGAAAAATTGGCTGCGGTTGATGCATGGAAGCATTCTGATTTCTTGTGCAGAAATTATGTACTTAATGGACTGGATAACACATTATATAATGTGTACTACAATGCTAAATCCGCAAAAGAATTGTGGGAATCTTTGGACACAAAGTACAAAACCAAAGATGCCAGCACAAAGAAATTCATTGTCTGTCGTTTTTTGGATTATAAAATGGTTGACAACAAGACTGTCATATCCCAAGTTCAAGAACTTCAGATCATACTTAACGACATCCATGCCGAAGGAATGAAGCTAAGTGAATCATTCCAAGTCGCTGCACTAATTGAGAAATTACCACTTTCATGGAAGGATTTCAAGAATTACCTAAAGCACAAGCGGAAGGATGAAACTTGAAGATATCATTGTCCGATTGAAAATAGAAGAAGACAATCGCAAAACTGAAAAAAGGAATGGTGCATCTCATTCGATGGAATCAAAAGCAAACATCGTAGAAGGAGGCTTCAAGACTAGCAAAAAGAGGAAGCACAATAGGAAAAGGTAAATTGGTTTTTCAAAAACTGCTAAAAAGTTTAAAAGCAACTGTTACAATTGTGGCAAGGCAGGACATCGATCCAAGGATTGTCGAAAGCCAAAGAATGTGAAGGGAAAAACTAAATCAGGCCAATGTAACAAAACATGAGAACCTCACTGATAAGGTACAAGACATGAATCTTTCTACGGTTGTCTCTGAATGCAACTTAATTGGAAACACTAAGGAGTGGTGGGTAGATACTGGAGCTACTCGTCACATATGCTCAAACCGCGGGATGTTCTCTACCTACAAAGCAATGGATCATGATGAATATCTCTACATGGGAAACTCGTCATCTTCCAAGGTAGACGGACATGGGAAGATAGTGCTGAAAATGACAAGTGGAAAAGAGCTCACTCTGAATGATGTTCTTCATGTGCCCGATATTAGGAAAAACTTGGTATCTGGTTCTGTATTAAGTAAGAACGGGTTTAAGCTAGTATTTGTTTCAGACAAATTTGTGCTCTCTAAGAATGAAATGTTTGTAGGAAAGGGCTACCTGAATGAGGGGCTCTTTAAGTTGAATGTAATGACTGTTGTACCTCCAAATATGAATAAGAATACATCTTCTTCTTACTTGCTTGAGTCATTTAACATTTGGTATGAACGATTAGGACATACAAATTATAACACTTTGCGTAGACTAATCAAATTAGATTTATTACCAAAGTGTGATTTAAATCCTAATCACAAATGCAATATATGTGTAGAAGCCAAAATGTCACGTCTACCCTTTCGTTCTGTTGAAAGAAGTACCAAACCCCTAGATTTAATTCACACCGACATATGTGATTTAAAATTTGTTAAAACTAGGGGAAGCAATAAGTACTTTATCACTTTTATTGATGATTGTACTCGATATTCCTATGTGTATTTGCTCAAAAGTAAAGACGAAGCAATTGAAGTGTTTAAACACTATAAGTTAGAATTTGAAAATCAACTTAGCAAAAAGATTAAGGCCATAAGAAGTGCTAAAGGTGGTGAATATGATTCACCATTTGAGAAATTCTGTTCGGAACACGGAATTATTCATCAAACTACCGCTCCTTATTCTCCTCAATCTAATGGTATTGCTGAACGCAAGAATCGAACATTGAAGGAGATGATGAATGCTATGTTAATAAGTTCTGGATTACCGCAGAACTTGTGGGGGGAAGCCTTGCTCTCTGCCAACTATATTCTTAACAAACTACCACATCGAAAAACGCAAAAGATACCTTATGAAGTATGGAAAGGTCACAAACCTAATTATAAATACTTGAAGGTATGGGGATGTTTGGCTAAGGTAGTAGTTCCTAAACCTAAAAGGGTTAAGATAGGACCTAAAACCATTGATTGTGTATTCATTGGTTATGCCTACCATAGTAATGCATACAGATTTATGGTATATGAGTCTGAAATACCTAATATGCATGTTAATACAATTATTGAATCAAAAAATGCTACATTTTTCGAAAATACTTTTCCTTATAACATGCAAGGTGAATCAAATTCACAAAAGAGATCTCGTGAAAACGAAGAGACTATAGATCAAGAATCTATAAATGAACAACCTAGACAAAGTAAGAGGGCTAGGACGTCAACCTCCTTTGGGCCTGATTTTCTAACATATTTGTTAGAAAATGAACCTCAAAATTTTAAAGAGGCTATGTCATCAACCAAAACTTCATATTGGAAAGAAGCTATTCATAGTGAAATTGAATCCATACTACAAAATCATACTTGGGAATTAGTAGACCTCCCTCCCGGTAATAAGCCTTTGGGATGTAAATGGATTTTCAAAAGGAAAATGAAAGCAGATGGATCAATTGACAAATATAAAGCAAGACTTGTCGCTAAAAGCTACTAGCAAAAAAAAGGTCTTGATTATTTCGATATTTATTCTCTTGTGACAAGAATCACTTCCATACGTATGCTTATTGCAATAGCAGCATTGAATGGTTTGGATATACATTAAATAGACGTTAAAACGGCATTTTTGAATGGGGAATTAGATGAAGAAATTTATATGGAGCAACCTGAAGGATTTGTGGCCTCAGGACAAGAAAAGAAAGTGTGTCGACTTGTTAAATCACTATATGGATTAAAGTAAGCTCCTAAGAAATGGCATGAAAAATTTGACATGGTTATATGTCAAATGGTTTCAAAATTAACGAGTGTGACAAATGTGTTTATGTCAGGAACACTCCAAATGGATATGTCATGGTATGTTTATATGTCGATGACATGTTGATTATGGGTAACAATGATACCATAATTCAAACTACAAAAAGGATGCTAACAAGTAAATTTGAAATGAAGGATTTAGGTGTGGCCGATGTTATATTAGGAATTAAAATTTCTAGAACATCTAATGGTCTCATATTGTCTCAATCACACTACATTGAGAAGATTCTTGATAAATTCAAGAAATATAATATTATTCCTATGAAAACACCTATGGATGTTAGTATACATCTTGTTTCCAATACTGGTGATAGTAAGTCTCAATTGGAATACTCTCGTATTATTGGCAGTTTAATGTATGTCATGAATTGCACTCGACCTGATATTGCCTATTCAATTAGCAGGCTAAGTCGATATACAAGTAATCCAAACACTGATCATTGGAAGGCTATTGTTAGAGTTTTAGGGTATTTAAAACATACCCAAAATTTTTGATTGCACTATTCGAGATATCCAGCAGTACTTGAAGGATACTGTGATGCAAACTGGATATCAGATACTAAAGACTCCAAATCAACAAGTGGATATATCTTTACACTTGGAGGTGCTGCAATATCATGGAAATCTTCAAAACAGACATGTATAGCTAAATCAACAATGGAATCTGAATTCATTGCATTAGACAAAGCCGGAGAAGAAGCCAAATGGCTACGAAACTTTCTAGAAGATATTTCATGTTGGACAAAACCTGTGCCTGCTATATGTATCCATTGCGATAGTCAATCAGCAATTGGTAGGGTACAAAATGCAATGTACAACGGTAAATCTCGACATAAACGTCGTAGACACAATACTGTTAGACAATTGCTTTCTACAGGCATTATCTCTATAGAGTATGTGAAATCAAAAGAGAATATTGCGGATCCGCTAACTA